GTTACATGAAGGGTTAGTAAAAGACTAACATGAACATATTAGATTCAGAAATAAAACTTTGAATGAGAAATGGATTTTGGTTGAACGTCTTTAAAGGTGCGAGTGATTTATTTGTGAGCCAAATCTCACAGACTGCGCTGAATTAAAGCTCTGGGTCCAGAAGCAGGAAAGCACTGTGAAGTAATGGTGTGTTTGCGGAGCGAGCCGTCCGTCGCAGGGTTGCGTGCCACGGTTTGTTTTGCGTGGAGGCCACATGTTCCAGCTCATTCCTCAGCCGCAGTTTATTAATTCAGTGTATTTAGGAGTTTCTTCTGAGCCGTGCTGCATCTGGAAAGAACACAACGACATCAATCTGAGGCATTTAGTGAGACAAAAACAGTTTCAGCCAACGTTTGGGAGTTTTAGTTAAAGGAGTAGTTCACTTTCAGAATGAAAACCCTGTCACCATTTACTCACCCCCCACTGGTTCCAAACCTGTATGAGTTTCTTTCTTCTGTTGAACACAAAAGAAGATATTTTGAAAAATGTTGATGAGCACCATTGACTTCTATACTATTTCTACTATATGTTGTCTGGTGGTACTATTGCACGAGATGATGAACACTGATGCCAAACAACTCATCCTCAGCCCGGAGTCCAGTGTGAAAGGCAGTCAGTGTTTGCTGGTGTCTGTTCATGGCTCTGATGTTTCACAGGCTCTCTGAGCTCAGCTTCTGTCTTCAGTGTAAACATCTGATCCTCCAGCTGTGCTGTGGAAGTGTTTGCATGTCGATGGGCAGCAGCAGCTCCTTCTGCACGCAACGCCTGGGAACCGGTCCAGGACTGGGATTTACCCGCTGCTCCGGGAATCCTGGACAACTGTCTTCAGACGCTCGCCGTCACTGCATTCATCTCACTTCATTTGATATAATTTCTTCTTTAGATGTGAGAATATTCATTTGACTTTGAAATGATGCAGCGATTAATGTTGTTTTGAATGCATCGTCACACTTTCTTATGTCACTCCCGGTCCATTTTCTGCCTTCTCTCTAGTAGAAGACAAAGCAAAGCCACTCACCACAGGATCACAGTCCATCTGTGAACAGAAAGAGTCAGAACATGCTGGAGATATTTGAGAGAAATTCTTGCACTGGAGTCATAAATCAAAGCGCTGCTGATGGGAAAACGGCGGAAAAGCTGTTGTGCTGCTGATGTGCAGCGGGGTCGAGTGTTGCGTGCCAAGCCACATTACAACACCCACAGATTCAGCTGCAATACACCGCTGGCCAAAAGTCATGCTGTTTGGATTTTAATAAGCAAATACTCCAGAACCTGGGATTAGATCATGATTGCAGTGATTAATATGTTAGTGGCATGTCATATGTTTGAAAACAATTCTTGCAGCTTTTCATTTCTAAAACAACCATGTATGAAGTAACATCCTGTGGCCTTATTCTGGATTCATCGGGTTCAATGGTTGAAGAGTTGTTCAGGGAATCTGGAGTCGACTTGACTTTACAGAGTTGTTCAAGTCTCTCTTTGTCAAACAGGAGATGTATTGTGATGCTGCATAAGGTTTTCGAAACGATGCAACAATGGATTCACACTGTGAAGTGCAAAGCTAAAGTCAGTTCAGCAAAATATTAGAGTGTTTGACTTTTTTGTTTGTTCAAGCAGACAGCACCTGGCTGTATTTGACTCTCCTGAATTACATTTAAACGGAACAAAAGCCCCTGTTGAAAAACCAGCATATGATGGTTAGGTATGTTTTGAACCAGCTCAAACCAGCAGCCATGCTTCAAAACATACCAGCATATGCTGTTTTTTTTTAACAGGGGAAGCAACAGAGAATCACCAATGAGAAATAAACACGACGCAGACTTCTGCTTTTCCTGCTGGACGCTGGTGTGAATCAGAATTGAAGTGTGCCTCGATCCAGACCTGACCGCTAGCAGCCCACTGCATGCTGTTAATTCACTCGGGAACCATAAATAACTCCTGGTGTGGCGGTGATAATGCTCTGTGGTGTTTGTGGATGACTAGAGCACACGCCTGTAATGAGCGCTGTGTGCACTCCAGTGTGTCCTCAACTTAAAGACTCAAGACTGTGTCTTTTCTGGGTCTGTGTGTGAACGCGACCTCTTGTGTGGTGTGGTCAGGAGATAGCCATGTCTTCTCCACGAGTTTGTGCGGTGCTGCCTTACTTTAGACAAACGAGGTCTGGTTTTCAGGTTTCTCCGACACATGTTGGAATTAAAACGTCATACTTCTAGGAAGACCACATAAACAACATGTGTGATACATCCCTGATCGATGCATGGTGTGTTTTTACCGTGTGAAGAGTGTAAATGAGAGACAGGAGATGCAGTGAGCTTGGGTTTGGTGACATTAACCATTAAATGAATATGCTGTGAAGAGATGAATGGTGGCTGTCGATGCAGTAATTAATCTAGCGCGGGTGGCTGGAATATCACTAATTTGCAGGGATCAAGTGATGTCACTGATCGAGTGAAAAATTTAAGGGGGTCTGAATACTTTCCGTACCCACTGTATATATAGCTCAAACATACGTCTGGGTTGTAGGTATTTCAAAACAAATCTGAAAATGTTTTATTATTTTCCCAAACGTTAATAAGGGTTAGACAGCTGTTCGGTATCTTGAGCGCATTGCGTTATAGTGATCCTCGATGATCTGCGAGGACAGACGAGAATAATGTGAGACTGTCTCTTTAACTCCTAAACTCAAGCTGCTGCCTTCTAGATTAGAGACTAAAATAACCCTTTCCCAAAACTAGTTCAGGATGACTTTATAAAGCCAGATATGAACGAAACCCAAGGAGATTTCAGTCAGTTTTTAGCAGAGAGAGAGAGAAAACATGACAATAAGCATCAACACAAGTGCTCCAAACATGCAGTAGCTCTTCTAACACACAAACACATCTGGGTTCAGATGATTTGTGTCTCAACACTGAATAGATTAATTGTTTTTCTGGCAGTGTCTCTCCGCTGGATGAAAACTAATCAAGTAGGTTAGTGAATGACAGAAGCTGGCAAAGCAAATGTAAGCAGAAATATGCCAACATGTTAATTCCTTTATTTAATCTTTTACTTGATTAAACGTTTGTTTCCTGCTAGAAATGTGAGGATTATTAATGTGACTCTCAGTATTGACATTCTAGACAGAGACAGTTTAAGATCCCCAAGCAGAGGACGAGAATAGTGCGAATGAATAATGGCAAATGTGCAGAACACGCGCTGTCTCGTTACCAGCAGACATACTGAGAGAGGAGCTGCGGACACAATAGCTCATATAATGAACTGTTAGGTTTGAGCTCAAACCATTCAGCACAGACCATCACAAATAATCCCAAAGAACTAATGACTGAATCAGTTCAGACTCACTGAAGGCTCACAAACACATGTAAAGCGTCCAGTCTTAATCGGATAAATGAAGATCAGTGTGTTTCTGGAGCTGAACATGACACTTTTGATCAGTTATGCTGTGATATTTACACAAGTTTGCATTGATTACAGTGATTTCAGTTCATCAACAACATGAAGATGCTTTTATTATGAGCAGCACATGAAAAACACAGACAATGGCAGAGATTGTGGATTTTTCAAACACAATGAGCTTTCCTCTTATGTTACGATTTGAATAATGTTGTTGAAAAAGAGGAAGAGAATGTGTCATTGATTCTGTTGAACTAGAACAGTTGGCTTTAACTAGTAGGTTGATTGACTAGTTTTGAACAGTTCACACAAACCAGACGGCAGCATCTTAACAGCAGACGAGCGCGAGGCAGCGCTGAGCTCCAGAGACTTGTGCTGAGCAGCACAATGTTGCGTGACTTGAGGAATCACGGACAGATCCCAGAGGAGAGGAATATTCCAGATTCTCCTTCTCTCTGCTTCCGTGGAAATTCTCTGAATGGGTTTCTTTCGTGACCTTTTTGATGTGCCTTTGAAGTCTGTGTGACAATGTGAGAAAGGAGGAAAAGCCATCAGGACGTCAACAGAGAGAGAAAGAGAGAGTTTTCACGATCAGATCAAAGTCTCTTGTTACATTCAGATCAGCTCCAAGCAGCAGGTGCTGCTTTCCATGAAGATCATGAAGCACAGATACAGCCCACAGTAAATACAGCCACAAAACTGTTTAACAAAACCATCATACTAGCAGGAGTTTGATTTCTTCAGATCAGAAATAACCTTTACACACTGACTGAGTGAATGAATGAATGAATGCACAGACACATCTATATTACAGTCCTAACCGCACAGGTCAGTCAGTGACGAGTGTTTGTTGTGTTCAGTCTTTAGCAGGTTTTGCGCTGGTCGTCAGCAGTGATGGGATGGTCTTCTACGCCTCCTCCACCATAGTCGACTATCTGGGCTTCCACCAGGTGAGCATCACTGACCAACACCTGACACACACTTACACTCACACTCACACACAATCTGAGTGTCAAGTCCTTGTGTGTGTGTGAGTGTGTGTGTGTGTGTGTGTGAGAGAGTGTGTGTAGTGGTCTGAATCGCAGGTTGTTGTGGTAAATCTGTGTGAGTTTTGAGGAGCACCACTACAGTAACTCTCTCAGACGGCAGCGCAAGCGTCTCTGTGTCAATTATCCTCTGAAGAACAATGACTTTTGAAGCACCAGGTTATTTTCTGCTTTTAGCAGGCGGCTCTCATGCGGTCAGTCATACGGAACTGCTGCTTTACAAGGCAAATGTTCAGAGAGCTTTGCGTGCCTGTCGTATGGAAAATACGGGTCAAGCTTAAGTATTACAGAAAGAATCTGTAATTTCTGACAAAAGCAAAGCAGAGGAAGAATTACACATGCAGGCTTATTTTGGGAGAGCTGGGGTCTGCTGAGCTTCAGTGTCACGCGACGTTTAACACATAATGACCCGCGGCTTTAGACAGACATGCAGGAATCTGAGCTGTCTGACCACAATAAAGCTACAGATTCCACGCAAAAAGGCCAATGGTTTACACACACACTCACACTCACCCAGACTCACACTCGCTGTGTAACGCTGGTGTCTGTTCTGTAGGTGAAGATCTCGTGGTCAGCAGTTTGTTTCAGTCTGAGACGGGCGACGTTCCTCCAGAGTTCTCCTGCTTCCTAAACCGCTGCTTTATCCTGCGCGTGCGCTGCTTACTGGACAGCACCTGCGGATTCCTGGTGAGGGATTCCTTCAGCTTTCGGTGCACAGGCCACAATCACAGATAAACAGAGGAGTGTGTGTGACGGGAGACCTGCGTGTGATCATCATTACCCTTTGACTGAAGACCAACTCCTAACACTGTTTGCCATGAGATTTTTCCGTAAATAAATCCCACAGAGAACACATTCCAGACCGGTTTCATGGTGTTGGCTGCTGTTTGAGTCACTAGAGCTGCACTGTGTGTCTCTATCATCAGTGCTGCTAGTAACCCACTGCATGCATTCTGGATTATGTAATCGATGCCAACTTGTTATTAGATTTTGAAATACCCCTAATCAGACTACAATTACTTTTTTATTGATTACATGTTATTCTCATTCTGCATGCAGGTAAACGGGTATAATATTGTTTTTAGTAGTGTTTTATTTTGATTGTTGTCATTTTGAAAATATTTTTATGATTTAATTTATTAGCTTTTCGTTCCCCCAGTTTGGGAAACCTTGATGTAAAATGATGTTTAATGCACTTCATGTTGTTACTAACAGCACATGGAGTATATTGTCTTTCTCTTTGTATTTTTATATCAATACAGTACAAGATTATCCTATTTAAATCAAAGCGATAATCGAGTTAGGTCACAAGCAATCTAAAAGTAATCAAAAAGTAGTCTGATTATATTACCTGAAATGTGTAACATAATGGATTACGTCACTAACTACAGTTTTCATGTAATTTGGAATCAGTAACAGACTACAATCTGTGAGTAATCTACCTTCTCTGAAGATGTTACGGTATATAATCATGTAGAACAGAGAGAAGACGCCTGATCTTGTCTGTGCTTCCAGACGATGCAGTTTCAGGGAAGTCTGAAGTTCCTTCAGGGTCAGAGGAAGAAGACGGCGTCCGGAGCGCTCCTGCGTCCTCAGCTAGCGCTGTTCTGTGTCGCTGTGCCTCTGCTCCTGCCCTCCATCACCGAGATGAAGATGAAGAGCGGCGTGATGAAGGGCAAACACAAGAACCCCGGCGTTCTCACCTCGTTAGATCACAAGTAAGAGCAGATTCTCTCGTGTCCTCCTCATGTGTTGCTGACTGCAGAAATGAGACGGATTTCCCTTTGTGTGTCTCGCAGTGACAGAGACGATGCTCTCAGACGTGCCTCGCTCCTGAGCAAAGACAGCTTCAAGTACAAGAGCGAAGGGCCCTATGGCCCCGACGAGCCTCTGAGCTTCTGCAAGACGAGCGTTCAGAAGTTCACAAACCTGGACTGCGGCGCCTGGCCCTCGAGAAGCTCCTCGGTCCTCGGCAAACACTACGCTAAACTGTATCGATCGGCCCCGGGATATTACAGCTCCAGAGCCGAGGCCTTTGTCCCCAAGCCCTACGGGAGCGACTGCGGCGCAGACAAGAGCGAGGGCTTCTGCTTCGACGGATACGACGCGGTGCTGGAGCCGGCGGTGAAGGTGGAGCAGGACTCGGACTCGGAGAATGGTTCGTGGACGCAGATGAAAGCGGAGGCTGGATTCGGAGAGCAGTACTCCTGCCAGCGGCTGAAGGGAGCGCCGTACGCCGGACATTATTACAGCTCGACCCGAGCGCTCAAGTGTGTCCTGAACCGAGACGCAGCGGCCGCCAGCGCACACAACACACACTGCATCGACGCCTACGCTGCTGACTACAAAGGGTACGTGCAGCACGACTATAAAGCGGGTAACGAGTTCAAAGGTCACGGGCTGCTTCACTGCATCAAGCAGGAGCCCGTGGACGCTCCGCTGTGGCACGATATGAGTGGCGCACACAAGATCAACCCCTACGTCTTCATGCAGTAGCTTCACTCTCATTCTGTCTTTATTCATTTTGATTACATAGGCGTAATGGTTTTTATACTGTACAAACTGTATGTGCTATTGCTGTACACCTAAACCTACCCCTTACAGAAAATGTTCTGCATTTTTACAATCGCGAAAAAACTCATCTTAAGCCATTTTTGCTTGTATCTTGAGTCAAGACAGTTTAGATTTTTGTACTGGAAAACAAGACAAAAATACGAAGACAATCATTTCTTGCAGTGAGGTTTTTCTTTTCTCTCGGTGCAGCAGCGCTGTTGCGTTCAGCGTCTGGTTTACATTTTGTTTGGTGAGCTTCCATTATATTTTCTGTGCACTTTTTATATAGTGAGGCTAATATTTCTTTCTCAGTTTGTTCAACTAACATGGACAAGTACAAATTACTAACATAAAAATGACAATAAAATAAAAAAATTTAAATATCTGAAAATTATTCAGATTCTTTCATTTGAAACCGTAAAAGACAGATTCATTTGAAGGTTCGGGATTTGCTGAGAGTCTAGTACATCATTACAATCATTGGTTTACTTTGAGGAGTTGTTTTGTTAAAGCATTTCATCTGCATGTTTATTAATTATTTAGAAGTATAAAAACTGAAGGATTTAATCTGTTTGTGTTCAGATATCAGCCGGATCAATGACAGAAATGTTCTTATATCTCATTAAATAGCCAAGAGGGGAAAAACACACCTAAAAAAAGACTTATGTTGAAGCAGTCCAGTAATAAAACATATTGTTAATAATTAATAATGTCGAATATTTAGGCTCTCGCTTCAGCATTGATAAGAATGCCAAAGATTTCATGTGTTTAATAGAGCACGGCTAACTCTGACTTTATATAAAACTACTGTTTAAATGTAATAATAATGATAATAATGCTGCGCTTGCACTGAAGGAACCTGCGAGGCTCATGTCCTCGTGACTCTGTTTGATCAGCTGTTTCTGGAAGGTCATTTCTATTTATTGTTTAATGGCCTTTTGCACTATTTCAGGAAGGATTTTAGCATCACGTTTTGCCTCTGGCATTCAATATGGGCAATAAATATTAACAGAAGATACAGTGATGTTTTACACAAGTTTGTAGTGTAATCAAATGTGGGTCTTCCTGTTATATTTATTACTTTTATAAAAATAAAAATCTTGTATGACAAAAAGACCAGGCTTATGTGGTGTTGTAGTGTTTTGTTATGAATAACAATGGTTTCCAGCTTCACCTGCTCCTTCTGAACACTTTAATAAGACTAATAACAGTGAACTTGTCAGACATAAACAGATCTGCAGACTGCTTGTTCAATCAATAATTGCGCCCAGTATTTTGGAAAAACGTTTACCAGAACATTTTGTCACAACAGAAGATTTTTCAAGCTTCTAATGTAGCGAAAAAACACAAAGAGACTAAACTAGTCACAGCAGAGATGATTTAATCCCGTTTAACGCTGATCTGAGAGAAAAAACGACAGTTTCTCCCGATGATGAATTATTCCAGATGCCCCGCCCACCGCCAGTCAACACTCGTTCCTATTGGTGCTGACGTCGCCGGGTGGGCGGGGCTCGTCGCTTCACACACACATCTGCAAACGCCTCAGACGTCAATATTGTTCATAAAACGTTTGTCCACAGTCACGATCATCTCTGCATAGACACACACGCTCACGATCACAAAGCATCTACACCTCATTTACAAGTTCATCTGTTCTCTTTATCAGATGTAAAGTGTTGAACAATCAGATCAGTCAAACTGTGCCGCTCATCTGGAGATCTGCTGTTGGGCGACATCTAGTGGTCAGCACATCTGAATCCTCTCAACCAGACGATATCTGCATGATAAATATATCACTGAGACATGTAGAAACACTCTTCTGCATCTGTACGTGTGTTCAGCTGCCATAATGTGTAAAGAGATGTTTTATCACAGGCGTCTGTCAGTCTGTCTTCTTCAGCTGGGCCTCTGCGGGTCTGTAATGGGAGATTATTTGTCCCAGTATGAGAGAGTTTATGAGCAGAAACAGCAGCCCGGCGATCCAGATGAGAGCGAAAGTGTTCCAGCCCTCGAACTCCAGATAATACGCCGGCGACAGCCACAGCGCCTGCGAACACGACAGACGGCTGCCCAAACCACAGACTCACGCTGTTAGCAACACAAGAAGAGAGAGAGAGAGAGAGAGTGTGTGTGTGTGTGTGTGTGTAGAAGAGTGTCTCATACACACAGTGATCAGATTCTTCTTCTGATCCAAAGTCATATTATTGTCCTGTTATTAGGCAGAACTCTATGGAAACCCACTTCTAACACATAAAAAAAACCATATATATAAGATTAAAATATCAAAATTATAAGAAACAAAAATGAAGTATGAGATAAAAAGCCATACATATGACAAAAAAAATAACTCAATTTCAACTCTTTATCTCATTACGACTGTCATAATTTTGACATTTTTTTCATAATTGTGACGTTTTATGTCATAATGAAGCCATAATTATTGTCATAACTTTGTAATCCCATAATTCTATGATTTTGATTGGTCATGTATGAGCAGCGGGTTTCTACAGAGGACAGCAGAGATGAGAGCAGGGTTATGAACAGAAGCTCAGAGCTGTGTCTGCTGGGGAGTGTGTTGTTAGGTGTGTCTGTCACCTGTGTGATGAACCTGGAGGCGTCGGTGAACACGTGATAATCCACATCCGTGTACTTGAGCTGCAGATTCTGATCCTGATACACACCGAAGCACAGCAGCGCCAGACGGATGAGAAGCGCGACGCTGAACAGCACACACAGCCGAGCATCCATCTCACTCACACACACACACACACACACACACACACACACACACACAGAACACTGAAAACCCGTACTTCCGGGTCCCGAGCCCACGTGACTGCCGATCACAAGAATCTGACCAATCACGTATCAGCGCATTACTGCCATCTGCTGGTGACTCGGATCAGAAACACTTGCCAGAAGCCCACGCAGCAGCTCCAGCATCACATCTCTGCTAACATTCATATTAATAAACCTAACATAACTCTGCACTTCCTCTTATACTAACATACCTGCCACATACAGTACATACATCTTGCACACTCATACCTTTATATTTCCTATGTACTTCCTTATTTTATATTCTATATATTAAACCTGTACTTCCTAAGTATTGAATCAATGCAGAGACAATATTATAACCTATATCTGAATCTAATGTGTTTTAATGTTAGATCTTTTCCCTCTACCCTCCATACTTCTTCTCGTAACCACTTTCTCTCTTCATCATACTTCCCATAACTACATCTGGTCTGTTTCTGCCGATTATCGATACTAGCTAACGCTGAACATGAATCTGAACTTTAATTTCTTGACAATATGCGGAGAGGAGAGAAATAAGCGCAGTCAAGACAGTTCTGGCCTCTCGAAGGGAACATTTCAGGCGACTGAGGAGACTCAAACAAGCCTAACATCGCATCTGTCAGGTTCGATTTAAATGATTCATCGAAAAGAATCGGCTCACATGAATAACACATTTGCAAACGGCACATCTGTCAAAAGCGCTTCATTTTTTTATTTATTTTTAAATGCTTTATTAATCCAATGGCACAAGAACAAGAGGTATTACATATGAAATAATATTATTTATTTTTTGTTTCAAGTGTACGTCACGCGTCATCTCCGCTGGATGGAGGAATAACAGCGAGCAAAACATACAGTAAAGATGAACATATTCACTTATTATTATAGAAAATATGAAGTGCAGCTGGATTTGTACAAGATAATTCAATATGGTGTAAATTTGATGGACTGAGATCATCAACAATTACATTCTGAAAAGTTTTGAAACAGTTTATGACGTGACAAAGCCTGCTTTACTGAAATCACATGCCCTTATGCTCTGAAGCACTGATTCAAAGCGAGAGATGGAAGCTTCATGCAGAAGTGTGCTGAAGACGGCTGTGACTGCAGGGAGCTGTAGTTCCCCGTCTCTGTTTCAGCTGGGAAAGGGCCTAGAGATCATGAGTTTATTGTTCTGATTAATCTGTCCAGGTGTTTCATTTGTACAGTGTGTAGAGATGACTGCGTCTCCATCTGCTGCAGGTCTATACGGTTCTGGTGAGGAAGACTCTGGATGAGAGCTGGGTCGTGTTCAGACGCTATACTGACTTGTGTGTTGGTGCGGTCTCCTGTCATTCAGGTCACTGCTCTGGAACACTGAGCAGCTGCACATGTCGTGAAAATATGACCTGTCAAATAAGATGTGTTCTTCTAATGTATTTGCATGGCTTGTTTTGGTCTTGACTGATCAGGGGTGGATAAAAGTCAATTAATTACGGCTCTTCCTCTTTTATTATACAAATGTGTTATTAAAATGATGAAATAAACACAGACGATGGTTTATGGGTTGACTGAGATCATCAACAATTACATTCTGAAAAGTTTTGAAACAGTTTATGACGTGACAAAGCCTGCTTTACTGAAATCACATGCCCTTATGCTCTGAAGCACTGATTCAAAGCGAGAGATGGAAGCTTCATGCAGAAGTGTGCTGAAGACGGCTGTGACTGCAGGGAGCTGTAGTTCCCCGTCTCTGTTTCAGCTGGGAAAGGGCCTAGAGATCATGAGTTTATTGTTCTGATGAATCTGTCCAGGTGTTTCATTTGTACAGTGTGTAGAGATGACTGCGTGTCCATCTGCTGCAGGTCTATACGGTTCTGGTGAGGAAGACTCTGGATGAGAGCTGGGTCGTGTTCAGACGCTATACTGACTTGTGTGTTGGTGCGGTCTCCTGTCATTCAGGTCACTGCTCTGGAACACTGAGCGTCTCTCCTCTGGGTTTATTCTGGTTCTCTGTGCAGCGGAGATGAGGAGGCACCGCTCGCTGGACTCGTGTTTAACGTTAGGAAGCAGAATCTCTCCGACAGTCAGCGGCACACTGAGACTGAGACCGGCCGCCGCTGGAAGAGCATCTCTCTGTTCTCAGGGTCACGTCTGTGTTTTAATTCTAGTGTGAGGTGTAAGCGAG